CTATCCCCAGCCGCGAATCGGCCCCCCGAAACCGAGCCCTTGAGCCCCACGAATCGGCCCCCCCGAAACCGAGCCCTCTAGGAAACGCTCGCGGCTCTTAACGCCCGAGGTTTTTCTCAACCTTATTAATTTCTGGGTTTTTTTCCTTCTTCTTTCCTGTTTTTTTTTTGTTTTTTTGTGTGTTTTGTTTTTTTTTAAATTAATTTATTTATAGATATATTTAAAAAAAGCAATAGTCCTTTGGTCCCTAAACTCTAAGGAATGATATGACTCTGAAACAAGTAATCCTATGTCCCTGTGCCAGTGACAAGCAGGGGGAAGCGCGTGTCCCGCCGCCCTGCTCCATGGGATATATATATATATATACTTATTTATATATATCTTCTATAAGTCCAACATCCTTTGATCCTTTTTTTTTTCCCCCCCGACGTGGGGAAAAAGAAAACCTTGCCGTTTGTCTTTTTTCCAAACAAGCATCCTCCAGGTGAAGCGCCCGAGGCTGGTCCCGTCCCACCGGCTTTGGTTTAAGAATCCGTTTGGAGCCTCTTTTCCTCGTTTCTCCTGGGAAATCGGTAGCAGCAAATGAGTGCTTTAAAAAAAAAAACAAACAAAAAACCAACAAAAAACCAAGGTAGATCATATCCCGGGCGCCCGGGGCCGTGGTCCTTTCTCCCGGCAAGTGATTCGGTGAGTCCCGGCGAGCGGCCGGCAGCGAATCTCAGCCCTGGCGCCGCATCGCTCTCCTCCTTCCTTGTCTTCCTCGCTCTCTCGTTCCCGTTAAGTAACAAACAAGACCGGTTTGGGAAAAAAAATCAAAAAAGAAAAGCTACGACCAGAATGGCTCTCTTCTTCGCCATTTTCTCCATCACCTTCTCCTCCTCTTCCTCCTCCTCCTCCTCTTCTTCCTCCTCCTCTTCCTCCTCCGGGATGTGTTGCAAAGAAAGAGAGTTACGGGTTTGGATACTGCACTTGGGGAAGGGGAAAGTCGTCAGACACCGCGGGACGCCCGACCTGCAAAACAGCGAAGGGGCCGTCAGCCTGTGTCCTGGGGGACGGAGGGAAGGAAGGACGGAGAGAGGGACGGAGGGAAGGGCCCAAATCCCGGTTTGAAACACACACGCGCAGGCTGTCCCGGGCGCAGAGACCCCCGCACACACTCGAGGACGTTTTTGGAGAAAACACGGCACCTGCGATGCCTTAGGTGAGCCGAACCCCACCGCCAGGTCCCCTGGGGCACCGCAGCGGGGCGCAGCAGGGCCAGGCCCCCTCGCCCCCCCCCGCTTCCCTCTCCGCAGGGCCAGGGTGAGCAGGGGTCAGTAGGGTCTGTTGGCATCTTTCGGCCGCTTTAGCTGGACTTTTAGCCTCTTCATGCCGATCTGGAAGCCGTTCATGGCCTGAATGGCTGCCTGAGCGCTCGTCGGATTGTCAAAACTGACGAAACCTGGGGGCGAGGGACGAGGTGACAGAGGAGTTGGTCACCGTAAACATCACAGGTTGCCGCTTTACTTCAGCCAAGGCGTGGAAATCCCGCCCGCGGTGTCCCCTGGTGGCCAGCCTCAGGCGGAGCCCCAGGGTGGGGGGCTGCGAGAGGGGGATGGTGGGGCAACGGCGCAGCCCTGGGTTGCAGGGCACTGGGTGGTGGGCCGACGGCATCTTTGGGGACACCAAGGTCTGCAGGGACACTGGGGTAAGAAGGTCCACAGGGACTCTGGGGACATTAAAGTGATGGGATTTGTGGGGACACTGGGGTGACAGGGTCCACCAAAGTGATGGGGACTGCGGGGACACCAAAGTGATGAGGTCTGCGGGCTTATGGGACACCTGGGTGACAGGGTCTGCCAAGACACCGAGGTGACGGGGCCTCCAGAGACACCGGGGTGACAGGGTCTATGGGGACAAGGTGAGCAGGTCTGTGGGGACACCAAGGTGACAGAGTCTATAGGGACACCAAGGTCTGCAGGTCTGTGGCAATACCAGGGTGATGAGCTCTGGGGACACCAGGGTGACGGGATCTGTGGGGCCACCGAGGTGACACAGGCTGCTGGGACACTGTGGTGACAGGTCTGCAGGCCAGAGCGTGCTGGTGGCAGCGGTGGCACTCAGCCACGTGAGCGGAGCAGACATGGCAGTGGCAAGCGGTGACCAGCCCTCCCTGGCAGGCAGATGCACTGGGAGGACATGGGGGACAGCGTAAGAGGGGACAGCAGCAGGGTATGTCCTTCTCTCCTGGCACGGTGCGGGACAAAAAACTACCCTTTGGCCCCGGGATGGACAGCCACGTTGCTCCAGCCACCGTGCACCTTTGGTCACCCATCGGTGCTGCCCGAGCCAGACCCCTGGGCCGGGATGTCAGGGAGAGCCAGACCCCCGAGCTGGGACGTCAGGGAGAGCCGGACCCCCAAGCTGAGGACGTTGGGGAGAGACGGACGCCCGAGCTGGGATGTCGGGGAGAGCTGGACCTCCAAGCTGGGGACGCCGGGGAGAGCTGAACCCCCGAGCTGGGCCATCAGCGAGAGCTGGACTTGCGAGCTGGAGACCAGGGAGAGCCAGACCCCTGAGCTGGGACATCGGGGAGAGCCGGACCCTCGAGCTGCGACATCGGGGAGAGCCGCACACCGGGACTTACCAAAGCATTTACTCTGGTTGGTGGCACGGTCCACAAAGACTTTGGCAGAGATGACATTGCCGAAAGGCAAGAACATCTGCGTGAGCTCCGCGTCCCCGAACTCCTGGGGCAGGTGATAAATAAACAGGTTACAGCCTTCGGGACCTGGGTGACACACAAAGGACAGCCGCATGTCAGCCGCGAGGCGGGGGTCACCCTGGGGGGGAGCGAGGAGCCGTCGGCCCTGCGGCGGGGTGCCCCCCACAACCCCTCACCTTCCCGCTGCTGCTGCGGGATGATGGGCGCTTGCTGGGGAAAGGCTTGGCTGATGGGTGCGTAGGCGGTGGGATACGCTGCTGGAAGAGAGAAACATGGAGCTGAGACCCTGGCGCCCACCCCGCTCCCCCCACCGCC